AAAATCAGCCACTGTCATCTTAAAATATTTTGAGGAAAAGAATAAAAAACTTTGAAAATTGTTGTGAGAATGACACCAACCCCGTTATTCTTTCACTGCAAACTGTGATGTCAGTGTGAGGAGAGCACTGCTTGCTGAGTGGGCCTAATTGGACATAGAACTGTCTGTCTCTGCAGATTGAGATGTTACATGAGCTGGGAGACAATGAGACCCTACGCTGTGTGTTGTGTGCCCAGGTGAAAGAAACCCTCAGCCAGGACTTGTTCAGATGTAATACAGTCTAACGCTATTTTTTTATGATATATTGAGCAGGTAGACACTTATCGGGAGGGCAAAGGGATTCCACTAATACCATGTCAAACCCCCAGCCACCCCTAAACATCCAAAGGGCAGAGCTCTCACTCCCTTCCCTGTTAGCACATTGGTGGCTGTTCTTTCTTTGACAGACCCGTGTTGTGTGCAAACACCATTTTTGTCCAGTAGCAATCTGGCTGTGTGAGCTCACAGTCTTACATTTCAGACACTCTGACAAGGTCCCATCCAAAACTGAGCCACCTTTCTGCAAATGTTGTCCTATATTAAGTGAGCGTGGAAGATGCTTTGTGAGAATTGTCTCCAGTTAAGTGTGCCAGAATATCACTGAGTGAGAGAAGAGATGGCCTCAGGGAACATCTCAGAACAATACCCAGCCTAACCTTTCTTGCATGTGAGTAATGAACAACAGGTCAGAATCACTCACCAAGGCTGCATCCACGAGGTTGCACCTTTTTTTGAATTATGGATTTTTAAAAGAACTCTGCCTCTTCCACTTTTTCTTTCTTGAGTCCTCAAGCAGTCTTTAATCCAGTGGGCTCATGAGTTTTGTACAAATGATTCAAGTATCCTTGGCCTCCATATCCAATCACACTCACTAAAGAATGTGCTTGTATTTTAAGAATACTCATATTTCAGTGAAAGAGGAAAAGAGAGAGAAAGAAATCAAGAGGAAGAGGGCTCTGTTTCAGGAACACAGAAATGAAAGTGGTTCTGGTTTGTGGGAGGGAGCTCCTCAGATGTGACTCCTGTCACAGGCCTGGAACAGGGAGAGACAGGTCAACAACAAAATAGGAAACCATGTAAATGGCAGACCTGCGATTCTTTGTCACGGGTGCCAGTGTAGGCAGCAAATCATCACGGGAGTAGGTGCCTTGCTGTGGCATAAATACCAGTATTCCTGAGCTACTTTGGTCTGAAAGCCTCAGCTGGAGAGCCGTCCTGTCTCCCAGGGCTTGTAAACACTGGTATTGCTGAAAGGGGTTCAACTGCCTCTGGGTCCTGCTGCAGATCACACTTCAGTTCCTCGCAGCTCCTGTTGTGTTGCACCTGTGAGAAGAAGCTGGAGATCATTAGCAGGTGGGCTGTTGTGGTGAGTGGACAGCACAGGAAGGGTGCTTAGGCCATTAACAGGAACACAAAAGCAAACTGGTGAGCAAACGGGGCAGACTGAGGAGGTCAAGCAGAAGCAACAGGTCCCATAAACACACTGTATGCAACATACAGGATCCATTGTACTCTCCTGGGGCAAGGCCAAAGAATTTGCTATGGACAAAAAGAACATCTAGAAATGTTTATGCCTGTTTCTAGAAAAGAAATGCTCATATTCACTTCAGATGCCTAAATCTTGCATATAGTGATATTTCTATTACATGGCACCCTGTGAGGAGTGGCATATATTACACTGTCAGACTATAGTGTTTGTGCAAAACTGTTTCCTGCAAGATTGTCATTTGGCATGGATGACTGCCTGTCTCTTTTGGCTGAAAATAATGATGATGTTGGTGCCATGCATAATAGGAATTGCTAAAAAAAAGGACGTGAGTCACCAAATCACGTATGTTCTGCTGAACCTTGAGCCCACGTCTAACCAAACTTCCCTCAGGAGAGCTCACCATCCACCACCTCTGTGTTCTTCATCTACCACTTACAGTCAGAGGCCCCTTGGAACTGAACTCAGGTACTGACTCTTGGCTCTTTGGAGTCCAAACCATAACCTCAGTGTAGCTCTACACCCAGGAATTCAGATACTATGCCAGGATTTGAAAGGCAGGTTTTTTGCTCAAAAGGTAAATTTTTAAAAATCTCTTCAATCCATTTTCTAAAAACTAGCCTGTATCCTTTTTGCTTCTCCCATGAAAACTAATCCTGTCCCACAGTAAAAATCCTAAAATCAGAACTGATAATTTGGCTGACAATACATGAAGAGCTCTGCTGCTTAATTAGTTCTGCAATGCTGCTGACAGTAATTACAGCCTTCTTTTATGTCAATAACTAAGTCAGCAACCCTCAAAAAAAGATTCAGGGCCTTATTTGTCTTTTAGTTGTGTCACTTCTGCATCACTGTAATTTCACTGATAACAGTAGAATTGCCCTTGAAATACAGTACTGTAAGTGAAAGGAGAATCAGATGTACAGACATGTATTTTTGGGGGTTGGGTTTGCAGCCACATTTCTGATTGGGAGCATACTTGAAAAATATGCATCTAAAAATACAACAGTGTGGAGGTGTAATGTATTGGTATAGTAAAACAAACACTGGATCCCTGTATAGCATTAAACAGGATCCTGTACAAACTACACAGCCGGCTTCAGAACTTGCTGTTGTAACAGTAAACAACTAAATTCCAGGGGAATGCACTTGCTCTTTACTTCAGGTATTGGAGATGAACAAACAAACAAATTTGTACAAGGGACACCAAATAAACTAAAGTAAAGTAAACTAAGAATAAACTAAACTTCTGAGCTCTCCATGTCAGTACTCAATCCTGTGACAAGTGAGCCTGTTCTCTCTTTTTTTGTGTGTACTGTTTGTTCACCTCTCATTTCTAATAGATGGGCATCATTAGGGAGAAATACTAAACCTTTTCTTACCTTGGATGTGCTAAATTAAACTAGTCAGAAGAAATTTTATATTGTTCCCTTCTGTCACTCCTCTGATCAGTAACGAGGCTCTTAAGGTTTGTGCTTAATTTCTTGCCCTTCAGAAGAGAGCAAATTAAACAAGATGTTGCAAGGTCAGTAAAAGAGTCAGTGAGATACACTGTGGAGAGGATTTGGGAGCCTGTGGTAGAGCAGAGCAAATACATAAAATGGTTACACAGCTGATATTTTAAAATAGTAGCATTCTGAATCCTGCCAGGAGAACACCAGGGAAAATTATGGTCTACTTCAGCATTGTGAAATGAGCTGCATTTTTCTAACTATTAATGGAGTTAGTTGCTATAAAGCACATGCTATATGGTTTCACTCTATTGTGCAATGAAATTAATACACAAAATATCAGCACAAAGCTTGAGGATGAAAACTATTCAATGTAAAGCACTTATGTTACTGAGCAACAAGGAGAGTAAAATCAGACATCTGTATGTTAATGTATCAAAAACCAGAAATTCAAACAAACCACAGGGAGACTGTAAAACCCTTTCAGCAGAAAACAAAAACAAAACTATGTTCATAATCTGGAAATGTCTTCATTAAACAAACAAACAAATATTTACTGCTCTGATTTCAAAATTATTTGTCTCTATTTTTCTGCTATTCCCATCACCATGATAATAGAGTCCTTCCATTGCTAATGGAGAGCAGGTCAGGTCTGGACCAGAGATTAGGAAGAATTTCCTAATTGGATGGTGAACGAAACACTGGAGGCAAGTGAGTGCAAAGCTGTTGAATCTCCTCTCTTGGAGCTTTTCATGGAGAGGCCACATTGTGCCCCTGTGCTTGGAGATGGCCTGAATGACCCATTGAGGCACTTCCCAGCCTCGGGAGAGCAATTCCTCAGCGTGGACGTCACTCACTGACACGGAGGGAACGCTGAGCCAGTTCCCTTGTGGTACCTTCAGCTGGCAAAGCCTCAGAGGACTTAAACCTCCCAGCAGTGTCTCCCTGTACTGTGTGGCACCTTCTCTGGTGGCAGCAGAGGCAGGATGTGCTGTTACTGCCAAGAGAACAGAGGTAACCAGCAGATTTTTGAGACAGTTACACCCTGTTAAATTTTGGTTTAACCAGGAGCAATGAAATCACACTCATATCAAACCCACGCTTGGACTGCTGATCTCCAAGGGAAATCCAGGTCTTCAGGTACTAACAGATCTTCAAAATTGTTTCCTGATAGAGGCCCTTCCCTGCTTCTTATCCAGCCTTGTTACAATTCCTGATTTCCCATCCTCAAACTCCTATTTTTCCAGGCAGTTGGAGTCCTCAGCTCTGTGTGAACCAGTCCACATAAACCTCTGGACAGCAGAGGCGATCACGAAGCACCTGCCAATTTTCCCTGGGAAATAATACTAAACTAAAGCTTTGCACAAGTGTTTGGAGCATTTGTTAGTGCTGGTTATGGAGTGTGGAGGGGTCAGAGGAGCAAATACAGATTCTTGTTTGTACTTCAAACTCACCGTTTGTTTGGCTTTCAGCGTCCACATTTCTGGTGTAAGGGGTCCTGCAACACAGGCAAAGGATAAAATGAGATGATGCAATCAGGTATGGGGTTATTAAAGGAGACTTAATTTCTAGGACTGAGAATTTAGTGTCCAGTGATTCCTCTTTAAGGTATGACTTTGGGTGTTTCACCTGCACGCTCTCCCCATGCTCGGGACTGGCACGGCGGGACCGGAGGGGACCTGAGGGGTACTGAGGGGGACTAAGGGGACTTGAGGGGACTGAGGAAACCTGACAGGGACTGAGGGGATCTGAGGGGACTGAGGGCATCTGACGGGATCTGACGGGACCCAGGGAACCTGACGGGAACTGAGGGGACCGAGGGAACCTGACAGGGACTGAGGGGATCTGAGGGGACCTGAGGGAGACTGAGGGGACCTCAGAGGGCTAAGACATGAGGGGATCTGAGGGGAGTGACGGGGACTGAGGGCACTAAGAGCGCCCGAAGGTGCCTGAGGGTGTCTGACGAAACCCGAGGGTGACCGATGCCCGCCTCCCTCACGGCCCCAGCCCCGCCCCTGGCCCCGCCCCGAACCGCCCCGGCCGGGGCGTCCGGGGTCACGTGACGGTGCCAACATGGCGGCGCCGTGGCGGCGGCGCGGCCGCTGAGGGGGGCGCGTCTCTTCCGGGAGGTGCCGCGGGCCTTGAGCGCCGGCCCGGGCCTTGTTCGCGGCCCCTGCCCCCGCTCCCGGCCCCGCCATGCAGCCCCCGGCCCGCGAGCAGGACGCCCGCACCAAGAGCATGTTCGTGTCGCGGGCCCTGGAGAAGATCCTGGCGGAGAAGGAGGCGAAGCGGCCGCCGCACGGGCAGCTGCGGAGAGCCTGCCAGGTGGCGCTGGGTGAGTCCGCCCGGCCCGGCCCGGCCCGGCCCGGCCCGCGCAGGGACACGGGCACGGCCGCGGGCGGGGAACGGGCCCTGCCCGCCCGGGGCGGGTCCCGTCGGGGTGCGGGGCAGCCCCGGCTGCGCTCGGGACTTTGGAGCGGGGGGAAGGTTCTCTTTCCAAGAGAGGACTTGCAAATACAAGGGCAGAAAAAAAAAATCCCCCAAGTACCCGCTTTATGGAGTTCTGGCCTCGCCGTGAAGCAGGAGGGATTTGGGCTTGCCACTTCAGTTTTGAGAACATTAATTTCAGACTGGGAAACAGAGTCTTTAAAGCCCTCGGCTTGTGGCGTCCCAGAGCTTCCAGGGCTGGTAAATCTCCTGACCTCTGATCTCCAGCTCGAGGTCGGACGGGCTAAAGACTGTTAGCTGTGTGGCCACGTACATACAATGTCTGTGATGTTTGCCCAGCTGGAAACACTTTTCGTGAAGTTGGTGGACTAATCCTGAAATCCTCTGCAAGTACGAGCTGATGTAAAGGTCTCTGTGTTAAGAGCTCTGAGAACACGATGTGTCAGGAAGAGAAGATGAGCTGGGCAGAGCTCTGCAGCTGGAGTTCTCTGTGGCCTTTCTTAATTGGCAAGGGTGACATCTCTCTTACAGTTTTGGTTGCTTTATGTCAATATTTTCCTTTAAACTAGGAACATTTAGTGTAGCCAAGACAGAAGAAAAGACAGGCTGGGTGTGTAACGAGGCTGGGGAGATACAAGTCCTGTCCCAGGCACTGTGAGAGCAAGCTCAAAGAAACTGTCATTTTTATCTCCCTCCCTGCAGTCCTTCCTGACAGGAGATCTGTAGGAGCTGTAGTGACAGTTTATCCAGAGAAAGGTAACCAGGGAGAATGGTGTCTTATTGTTATTTAAAGTTGACTTTGTGAGCAAGAGAATAGCATGTGTGCCCTGGAGATTAGAGGTTACTTTTCCTAATGAGTTCTTTTTCCTGATTTCCCCAACTCCCCCAAATGCATCGAACCCATTTACTATATCGAGAACCTGTTTTGCTGCTATGGAAATGTTCTTAGAGGCTGAGAAAGGGAACTTCCTTCTAAGATGCCTAGTGAAGGTCCATGTTTGTTAACACATGGCAGGGGATGATTTTGGGAGGAGCATTGTGCAATAGCAGCCTGTTGGATTATGACTATTCCATGCCTTCATGTTTTAAGGTATACTGTGTTTTTTAGGGGAATTGATGTTGGTGATGAGGGACATTTTGTTTTTTTTTTTTTTTTTTTTTTTTTGCTAATCTTCTTTGGAAAAAAAGCCCACGTTTTCCTGGGCTAAAGCAAAGGTCAGCATGAAGAGATAACCTTGTGTTGACCAACTGTCCTGCCCTAGCAGGGCCTCAATTACTGTACAGGAGGACCTCTGTTATAGTTGGTGAAAATTTATTCAATCGTTTTAGGATGCCAACAGGAACGTGGTTTCTTTTACTTACATGAGGGGTTTTTTTTTGCCAAACATTATTCTATTTAGGTTAAGCCTTTTTTTTTTTTAATTAAAGAGAAAAATCAGTTTTATTCCATATACCTAATTTTAATTAAGCTTATGCTTGATATTACCAAAGACTGTGACTTCAGTTTCAGAAACCTCAACTTAACTATCAAGCCCTGAGCAATAGTAAATATGTGAGGAGATGTGGGAAGAACATTACTTGCAGTCTGAAGAACTCAGGCCAAACTTTGTAACCTACACAAACTGTTAGGGATGAAAAGTTCCAGTGTTGTGAATAATAATAAAAAATGCAGTTAAAGCTGAGGAAAAACAATTCAGTTTGAGAGAAATGTAAAGTTACTTTATGAAGTGGTCACTGTGTCAGCTGCTGTCTGCTGCACTTTTCTCCAAGTCATGCTTTGAATAATCCATTTCTACCTCTTACGAAGTTCCATTTGCTGGGCAGTCTTATTTATGCAGTGGTGTTTTTATTGGAGCCCTGAGGCATTGTACCAGTTACAAACCAGGCAACACAGGCACGGGGCACGTGCAGATGGTATCTGCTCCTGGTCCTAGGGAAGTCTAGGATGAATTCCTTTTTTCCAAATAGAGAGAAACAGGGGTATTGTACAGTTGCATAATAGAAATTAACCTGCAAATACCTCTAGTGTTTCTGCTGTGCTGTTACTGCAGGAGTGTTTCTGTTACATACTTGTGCTTTAAATTTGTTGTCTGCTGAGAGAGGAATAGATTTCTAACTGTGGGAATGATGTTCTTGTTTTCTTACATGAGTTCTCTACTGGTTTGAATGTGCTTGAGGTGTTCTTTCATTCTAATCTTCATCTGTTTTAATAGTTCTAAATTTAAACTGTTCTTAACCTTTATTCCCAGTAATTCGGCCCTTTCACTGGACTAATACTGGGCAGTTTTGGACTGCAAAATAACCTCATTGTAGAAATCAGAAGTAAGGTAGGCTCAAATAGGACATAAACACAAAAAGTGTGGAAGAAAAGGAACAAAACCAGTTCCCAGTGATGGTTTTATTGAAGGTGTTTTTTTTTCTCCCTCTTTCCACCCCCTCCTTTGAAATACACACTATTAATGTTGAGTAAGCAGAGTTTGAATAGACTCCTTCATTCAGTCTCTTGCTTCATCAGTAGGTGTAACGGTTGTCTCCTGTTCTCGTAGTGCCTGTAAGTCCCAGGGGAGACTGGGAGAAGTGGAGGGTTTTAAACAGAGAAGCTGTTCTCCTTTGCTTTAGAAAACTGTGTTTCAAGAAAACTTGTTTTCAACAGACAGCCACTGTATCGTATAAAAATAGTTGTTTAATAAGCATTTACGTGCAGCTCTTGGTACACATGAATCTTAGTAAACTGACTGAAGCTGTCCTGAAAAATGTGCAGTGGAGTAGGGCCGGTCTGGGTCACAGCAGTTCACTTTGGGCTAATGCTAATTGAGCACCTGGGTCTCTCACGTCAACTGTTACTTTTGCCCTACTAGGGCTGTTTTTAATGACATGCTGTGCAGCCAGCCTGGTTCTGTGGCCTTCTTTGATTGCCTGGGCAGCTCCACATACATATCTTCGAGCTTTGTAAACAACAGACTTTGTTTAGTTAGCTTGTTAATGAGATTTGAAAAAAAATCATCTCTTCAACCGTGCCTTCCCTTGGGAATCAGGTTGCGTGTTGAAGAAGTCTCTGGGTGTAAATGACAGATGTCCAAAGTAAGTTGTGTTTCCTGGTTTAGCCTCTTGGCCAGTGTGTTTGGAGAACACTGGGGCACAGAGGAGAGTTTGACTTCCTCGTGGCAGCCCTTTCTGCAGGGCTCTCTGCGGGTGGATGTGATCAGTAACTGCGGGGTTGGCATCTGGGCTGAAGGCAGGCTGGACTTGGGCAATGCAGTCAGCTTTGCTGGGCTGGGGGAGGGAGGCTTTGGCTGCTGCTCTGTGTGTTTGTGTTGGCAGTGCTGCTGGCCAGGCTGTGGAAGGACATGGCTCGTGTCCTTGTGCCAGCACGAGCCACGTTCTGCACAGGGGCTGAACAGACAGACCTGGCTGTGCCTTCACGCAGGAGGCGCCTCCTGTGCTGCAATGGGAGTTTCCAGTGCAGGCCAATGAACCCATCCATCTGCGGTGGGAAGGCAGCTACTCAGTGTGAGCTTCCTCCTGCTTTTATGGCCAGAAGCTCTGGAAGAAGTTGCTGCAAGGCCATTCTTGTCATTCCAGCTCTGTTCCTGGTAGGAATGCTGCAGGACTGCATTGGGTGGGCAGCACAGGGATTGAAGATGTTTGTGATTGGAGGAGTTGCCGTGAGAGTGGCGGGGAGCTCCAATCCCCAGAGCACCAAGTGGGGGATCGGTGTTGTTGTACTGGGGTGACCAGATGTTCACCAAAATTCAGGCTGTGATCTGTAGCTGTGGAAGGGAGTTGAGCTGTGCCCCTTACTCCCATGGCTGGAGGAGGAGAGTGCTGCTACTGGCCTTTGGTTTGTGGAAGCTGGTGGGGCCTGGTTAGGGCTTGGCAAGCTGTTCATGGCACCAGACTTCAATTAGGCAACCATTTCTGTTTCACTCGCTTTTGGTGGTCAGCCCACCAAATGAGCGCTTTAAATGTGGAGGTTCTCAAGCTATTGTGATGCAATCAGTAGCAGAGGCATGGCTGTAGCTTCCTCTTGACCTTTCATTTATTCTTTTCTGCCAGAATTATCAATTAAAATACTGTTGTGGTGCATATGTTTTTATGTGGCTTTAGAAAAGGCTTTATTATAATAAAATTTTATGCAACTTGGTCAGGCTTTGGTTAGATTATTTTTTTCTTTAATGGGTTATTTCTGGGAGTGAAACTGTTGCTGCTCTAATATGGGATGTTATTCTTGCATATATTTCCAATGCAGGATCTAGGACAAATACCAGTAAAGATGAGCGTGATCATGTCTCCTTAAGACTAAAATCTGTGTGAAGTTTCAAGACCTTTTTTACTCTGCTAGCAAACATTATGTGGGGAAAGTGATCTCTTTGAAAGAAAGAGAAACTCATTTGAGTTCTTGCAATCATTCAAAAAGCTCTGTACACCCTAGTTCTGCAGAGTGTCTGAAATACAGCATTAACTGTGCTATCACTGCTCCCAGCATCCTGGTGTACTTGGGATTCTGGCTATAGCTAAAATATGCCTTTCTCTGCCAAGACCTGGAGGCAGGACTAAGTGTTCTGAATGTGTAAAGTTACTCAGAAAACTCAGAGTTTTAAAGAGCTGGTTCCTGCATACTATGGGAATATGCTGCACTAAGAGTAAGATTGAAATAGGGACACAATAAATTGGTGGGTCCTTCAGCATATGCTTTTCTCAGTAGCTCTTTGGATCATAATGTGGTGCTGAAGATGGGGAAGTTAATAAAATCAAGGGCCTCAATTCAAAATATGCTGAACTGAAATTCTGACTAGTCCCCTTGTTGTCAGGGCAGCTGGACCCTGGAACGAAGAATGCAGTGGTCCCAAGGTGGTGCTGTGTAAGACTGATGTTGTTTGTTGCAGAAAGCCTTGGTTATTTCTTACCAACAGCCTCCCTTCTGTTGCTGAAGCCTGGAGTAGCAGGGGATGGTGGTGCTGGGTTTGTGCAAAGTCACTGCTGATCCTGCAGCCCCAGGCCCCGGGGCTGAGCACTGGGCTCAGCTCTGCAGGGCTGGAGGGTGACAAGTGTCTGTCCTCTAACGCTGCTGGACAGGGTTGTTTGCTGAGGGGCTGGATGAGAACTGGGAACACTCTGCTCCTGTGACTCTTCCACTTCCCTTTGTCTCTTTTGCTGAGTGGGTAACGTTACCTTGGTTGGTGTAACAGCACTGCACGCCTCAGAACTGGGGATGTCAGACTGACTCTCTGTCGAGTGCATCTGGAAGAGGGTATAGCAAGTCCTAGTCCTGGATGCAGCTTACCACTCACACCTCACAGTTATACAGGTTTTCTCTGTGTTTTGGTTCTGTTTTCTCTATGCAAAGGGGGTAGTAATGTTACAAAATGAACACATGCTGTGAGGATTGATTCCTGGGCCATTCACTGGGCACTAGGCCTGTGCAAAAACCCATAATCTGTGTTTGCTGCAGTCCTTGTTCCTTAGCGTGGTTTGTGTATTGGTGCTGCTGAGACAGAAAAAATTACTGAGGTTCACAGACTGCTCTTTAATAATCTCAACTGTGAACATCTCATCCCAAAACAATGGTACCTCTGCAGAGTTGAGGAGAACAAGCATTGAGTGAATGATCAGCTTTTAATACCTGCAATTGAACCAAGATTTGTAGGCCTGGTAATTCCCAGTTGGGAAGGTTTTGCAACACGTGCTGTAGGGTGGGATGGACAGGGTCCTGCTGGTGTCACAGGCTGTGCAGCTTTGGGGATTGGTTTGTCAGTGTTCACAGAGGGTGCAGGTCTGGTCTGTGTTATGCATCGTGGTGATACCTTAGAAATCTTCGAAAAGCCATACTACGATCTTTGGGATTTGCTGCTGTGTACAAGAGAAAGGAGGAAGGAACTTTCTTCTCCCCTGTATTTAATTTTATGAAGAGTTGTCTGAAAGTATAATTTAAAAACCAAAAATCTCTTCTGGCAGCAGGACAGAGAGCATTTAGGATTTGTTATCTCTTGGGAGCTTGTTCAGCTGATTGATGCTGTGGGGCTCAGGACAAGCAGGTTGGCACTGCAGGGACCTGGGATGTCCATCACTGAACTGATGTTTTATGCAGTGGCTCAAAGGCTTCTGCAGACTCGAGCTCTCTGTGATGTGGACTTGCACTTGAATAAAAGTTGCATGCTATACCTGAGTGTTCTAAAAATACCTTTTGTTGAGAATGTTTGGAAAAATTAGCTTCTTTAATGTAAAAATTGGGAGATACACTTTCCAATAACAGGTGTAACTGTGATCTCTGAAGCTGAGGTGTTACAGGAAAGGAATGGGAAATACTGAAGTGCAAGACTGGTGGTTTGAAACAGCTTTGCTTTATTCTGTGTTATTGATAATGATAACTGAGATTTGACTTTTTTTTCTTCCTTCCAGATGAAATAAAAAGTGAGCTGGAAAAGCAAAGGTAAATTACTAATTGCTGCAAACTGTTTGTGGAAAGAGCAAGTGGAATAATTGGATAGTGGAAATGTAAGAGTGTATGTACATTACAGCAGTGAGTTTGTGAATGCCCAGTTACCCACCTTTCTGCCAAGAACATATGGCCCATACGTTCCACTTACACAATGTTTGTGGCTGTGGGTACTCAAACCGTAACTGTCTCTGAATTTCACAGTGAAAAAATTGCAAAACTTCTAAAAGGTGACAGTTTTTTACTTCCTTTTACTGGGCTCAGTGTAGCCTGATAGGAAATCAGAAGGAATAGGAGGTACCCTCTGTCTGATAGCATGTGCTCTTTATTACCTACATCAAGAACACTAATTTAAATATGACTTACATACAAATTGTAAAACAGTTTTCCAGCACTGTGCTATGATTAAAAATGAGCAGATGGGTCCTCAAATGGGTTTCTATTTGCATAGTATTTCTCTTATGGGCCCTGTTTAATTCTGAATAAAATGGATGGATTTATCAGTTGTATAGGAGTTCTCTGGTATTTCAGATAATGGGACAGTGTTGGAGTATAATGAAGGGAGAGTTAAGTTGAAGAAGATATGAAAAAGACCAAATAGAATATAAATAAATGTAAAGTGGGATTTGTGTGATTTTAGAAGAAAATTGAACTTCCTTTAAGAAAGCATATGCAAGAAAGTTGCAGTACATTTGTATGCTGCTGTGCATTTTTCAGCTTTAAATTTAGAAAAGGAGAAAGTGTAGTTTGCTGCGACACACGTGTTCAGAAAAATTACTAACTCTTCTTATCTGACCTAGAGAAGGCACCGCTGCTCCACCGAAAGCAAATTTCATCGAAGCAGATAAATACTTCCTTCCGTTTGAGCTGGCCTGCCAGTCAAAGTCTCCACGCATTGTCAGCACTTCCCTGGATTGTTTGCAGGTGAGTGCTCTGGTTCAGCCTGGCCAGACTGAGCTGGAGGAACATGCTGTTGATATTCCTGCTGTGAGGAATGACCTGCCCTGCACAGGGCGAGGCTTTGCTGGGGCTCAGGGATCCTCACGCTGCCCAGTAAAGATGCTTCATCTGTGGTGCATGGAAGGAGTATCACCGTGGTGTTTCCTGTGGTGCTGATGTGATGGGAGGTCAGACTCTGCAATCTGCCTTCCTCGTTCCTATTGATTCTTCACATCTTGGGCAGAACTCTTCAGTTGGGAATAGGAACAAAGGCTGATGTTAAAACCACTTTTGTCTGGTTGTGGTATGAAAAATGGTCTGGGTGCAAAAAGCTTGTGTGTCTCTCACTGAAGTCTATTTTGTCCAGATGCGTGAACAGTCCCAAGTATTTGGTGGCCAGACTATAAATGGTGTTAAGTTTTTGTGTTAAAACTGGTTAGGTGAGGTATGCTACCTAAAATCTCCTTTTTATGCCATGCTAAACTGCATTTTTCTTAACAGTATATGGTCATCTAAGCTGCATTCTTTGTGCCTAGAAACTCATTGCATATGGACATATCACTGGCAACGCTCCAGACAGCGGAGCTCCCGGGAAACGGCTGATTGACCGGATAGTTGAAACCATTTGCAACTGCTTTCAGGGTCCTCAAACAGATGAAGGAGTACAGCTGCAGATAATTAAGGTGTTTTATTTGATTCATTCTCTGTTTCTTACACTGTCCCATGTGCTGCTACATTCAAGGAGGCTGTCACAGGGTAGGGTTGATATGGGAAATGGATTTCCTGTTGGAGAGGCAGAACACAGGGAATGTTTTATAAATGTTTGTCCTGCTTTCTGAGCTGAGCCATCTTGCAGGGGGCTTGGTGCTCGTCTTACAGGCTCTCAGTGCCCACCTCCCTTAGGCCAGGGAATTGCTCTCAGCCCCAGCGGGCCCTGGAGCTGGGATGCAGTGCCATGGAACGCTGCTCTAGCCTGTCTGACACTGCAGTGTATGTTCCTTGCAAGGCCTAGTGGTGCCAGTGGTGTGTGTTCAGCTTCTGAAATCTACTTGGGCTCCTCCAGCTGAGGCTGGACTTTGGTGAACCTTCCAGTAGCCTAATGTGGTGTTAGTGTAGGCCAGTTGGTCCTTGCATGGAAATGAAGCTATGGAATACAGTAGCTTTCATTTGGAGGTGGAATATCTCTCTTAGGAGAAAATCAGTTGTGATAAAGCCCTTTAACAACAGCTCAGGAGAGACCAGAGATACATGGAAGTTCTGTTAAACTTTCTTTGATTTGCAGTGCCATTGCAGAGAGTCAGAAGTTCCTTGTAAAGTTTTAAAAAAAGATACCTGTGTTTTGTAACAAACCCACTGATTATTCTGAAGACTTGCGTGAAGAACATTGCTGCCTGCTTGCTTAGATTTCACTTTTACTGTCTTATGGACTTTCCCAGGCTCTCCTCACTGCAGTAACATCTCCGTATATAGAAATCCATGAAGGAACAATTCTCCAGACTGTTAGAACCTGCTACAACATCTATCTGGCCAGTAAAAATCTTATTAACCAGACAACTGCCAAAGCTACCCTGACACAGATGTTAAATGTCATTTTTACACGTATGGAAAACCAAGCTGTAAGTAACTGTTACTTTTGCTCATCTCCAATGTTTATGCTTGACAAATGACAGAAAGCTTTTTTATTATTTTTAATAGGTCTGTCACTGTAGTGTTGGACATCTGTTGCTTTGTAATGTTTAAAAAGCTGTCAAATCCTGCAGTGAAGCATATTGACTGATGGAAAATAAAAGGTGACGCTCACTGCTGATGACAAGGTTTCAAGGTTTTGCTGATGACCGTGGCATTGGATGAACAAATGATGGGGTGCTTTCAAAATAAACTGGAAGTACATCTTTTTAATCCAACTGGCCAAGTGATTTTAGTTCCACTGTTGCTTGCCACCATGTGAGTTCATCATCAGTCATCGTAGACATGTTTTCCCTCAGATGAACCTTCTCCCATTTGTTTCTCAAGGTCCAGGAGTCCAGGGAAGCAGAGAGGGTGGCTCAGCAGAAGGTGCAGTCCCCGGCAGTGCCGGCAGGGTCCCGGTCCCCAGGGCATGGGCAGCTCAGCTCCCGGGGAGGCAGAGCCGCACCCCCCGGCACAGGAATGGCCAACGGGGAGCCCGAGGGGCCGTCGGATCGGGAACGCACCCCAGCAGCACCGGGTGAGCACCAACAGCTCCTGTCTGTGCTTCCAGTTGCAAAGTTTGTGTTGGAAAATGCTCTTTAGGCAACTCTGGGAAGAAGTGACTGGGGTCACCGGCTCAGACCATGCTTGGCTCTTCTCTTCTCGGGAGTCATTCAGAGTGTGTTGCCATCCTTGGCTCATGTCTACACTATAAACACTGAGGAAAGGCTCCTGTTTTCCCTAAAATTCCAGTAAAACTATGTGTGCTTTACAGAATTTTAATGGAGTTTGACTCCATTGTTGCTAAAGGGAAGGAAAGGAAGAGAATGGAATTATAGAATCATAGAATCAAGCAGGTTGGAAAAGATCTCTGAGATCATCAAGTCCAACCCTTGATCCAATCCTGCCGTGGTTACCAGACCATGGCACTGATGCCACACCCAGTCTCATCTTAGAAAGCTCCAGGGATGGTGACTCCACCACCTCCCTGGGCAGCCCATTCCAATGTCTCATTACTCTCTCTGTAAAAAATTTCTTTGTAATATCCAACCTAATCTTCCCCTGGCAGAGCTTAAGACAGTATAGTCATGGTATGTGGGAAGTGGCAGAATCACTCTGAGGGAATCAAAGTCTTGGGGTAAAAATGATGCATATTATGAAGACTATATCATAAGCACCTACTGCATCCAAATTAGGAACATGGGATATTCCAAAACTATAAGTTTGTAAAGTACAAATGACAAAATCACTGCATTAAAAATACCAGTGCTTTGATTTAAGCAACATAAGTAACATCAAAGAGTATTTTTGTATGAGTGAGAACTACTGAAGAAAATAATTGTTAACCCTTCTGCCTCTGTCATGTTTTCCTTTTCAATCCTCTTCCTAAAAAAAAAGTACTAAATTCAAAATTATCTTTATGTGTTTCATTAGAGGAAACAACTGATGGAGGAAAAGAAATGGTTAAAGGCATCTTGGAAGATGTGGTCAAGTCAGCTGTGAAAGGTAGCAAAGTCTTTCAAAGTAAAATAACTGCATATGTATTGCCAAGCTTTTATTCCCATATTATGAAAGTTATTTTTGTTACTAAGTATCTTGACAAGAACACCTACTACAGCAGCAAGAACAGGTTTTTATTCTACCACAATATTCTTCTTTGGCTGACAGCTGAGGAACTTTCTAGTTTACCAGTGCTACTTCTGTCCCACGTAGTGGTAGAGCTTCACAAAGTTGTGGGATAAAAAGTGCTCAATGCATGATTTTAATCAGTTTTCCTTTTTCCCCTTTAGTGGCTGAAGAAAAGCAGGTAACAGAACCAGTCAGGGCTCTGCCTCCACTGGAGACTGCAGATACTGTTCTTTCTGGCTCTAGCAATGAAACCGTGCAAACAAACGGGATTTCAGATGATGGGCAGTCTGTTTCCTCCACTGATAATCTGGTAAATAACTTCACGGGATGCTGATGTACATTTAGGAAAGGAGAAATGTTTTTGTTGTGCCAACTAATAGGGTGGAATTTCGGGGTAGAAAAGAGACAGAAACTCTGATGTGTGTGTCCTGCTCAGGTTCAAAAAGGAAGCAACAACTGCAATTAAGTATATATTAATAACACCTGTCCTAAAATTGATTACATTAGTTGTATTTTAATACAGAGCGGGGACAGAGGTGAAGAGTCAGTCAATGTGTCTGAGAAGATCCAGATCCCTTGTAATCCTCTTTAGGTTTAGTTTAAACTTTGCCAAATGTACCGTTTTCTTCAATGGGTGGGTGATTCTCAGAGCAGCTGTGAATCTTGTAATTGCTCTGTTCCTTTGTCTCACTGAAGATCTGTGGTGTGTTTCTTGTTCTCAAGGAAACAGATGTATCTGGACATCAAGCTGCTGCCAGATTCTCCCATGTGCTACAAAAGGATGCCTTCCTTGTGTTCAGGTCGTTGTGCAAGCTCTCCATGAAACCTCTCGGGGATGGACCACCAGATCCCAAGTAATGACACTGTGTTTATTAACTGTCCTCTCCAGGTAGCTTTTGGACACAGCTAAGAAGCTGCTGTGTAGTAAAGCAGATATTCAAGTATGCTAATCCAAGATGTTAACACTCCTGAAAAATTCCCAAATTAAGCTGGTAGATGTTCAAAAATAAGTTGTAGGCTGATTTCCACCCCTCTTGTCCCCCACGCTGAAGTGAGTTAAAGCAGCATGGAAGAAATGCTACAGTGCTCATGTCGAATACAAGCACGTACTCAGAAATATAAAAATACATTTAATTTTTTCCAGATCCCATGAGTTGCGCTCCAAGGTCGTGTCTCTGCAGCTGCTCCTGTCGGTGCTGCAGAATGCGGGTCCAGTTTTCAGGACACATGAAATGTTCATCAATGCAATCAAGCAGTATCTTTGTGTAGCATTATCTAAAAATGGAGTCTCTTCTGTTCCTGATGTATTTGAGCTCTCTCTTGCCATCTTTCTCACGCTGCTTTCGAATTTTAAGACCCATTTAAAAATGCAGATTGAGGTGAGAGACTTTTTATCTACAGTTTGCATATGCTCTAGTTCTCACATTTAAATACTGCAGTGGTAAAAAGACAGCTGGAACTTACAAGTTAATGCCTTAGTTTGGTTTCCTTACTGAACTAGTACATTGTTACTGTATTCAAATTCTAATATGCATGAAATGATACTCTTCAATTAATATGTACTGTTGACATCATTCTAATAAGTTTTAGATTATCAAGTCCTTTACCTTATTTATTTTGCAGGTTTTCTTCAAAGAGATCTTCCTGAATATTCTGGAGACTTCTTCAAGTTCCTTTGAACACAAATGGATGGTGATTCAGACTTTAACTAGAATTTGTGCAGGTATTTCCTCTGTAAAAAACAATCACTTCCTCTGGCAGCAGATGAGAATTATTTT